GCCCGCCCGGTGGCCACAAAGGTCGGGTGCGGAGCCCCGTTCGGGCGCAAGGCGGAGCGCGGGGACCGAGGCCGAGGGCCCGGGGTCTCCCGGGGACGGGCCGGATCTGCCGGTACAGGGAGGGACCCCGCGGGGTCCCCTGGTCCTCCCGAGCCCGCCCCGACGCTCCGCACAGAGGGGTTCGCGCCGCCCCCACCGCGGGCTCCGACCCTCGGGGCGGGGACGAGCGGCCCTGTGCCGAGGCCGAGCTTCGGGGGGGGCGGGGTCAGCACCGCGAACGCCCCCCACCTGCCTTAGGGCCGAGGGTCGGCACCCGGGGTAGGACCGGGCCTGGGCCGTGCCGGGAGCCTGGAGACCCCGAGCTCTTACGGCGGCGCCTCGTCCGCGGAGGTGGAGCCCCGAGGGCGGCGGTCCCTCCTCCCCCCAGGCGCCGGCGGGGGTCGGGCTGTCCTGCCCCCCCGGAGGAGCAGAGGCTGAGCCGCCCGGTTCCGGGATGGCCCCACCCCCACCCCGGCTCCGACCCCGGGGACGGCTCCGCAGCCGCGGCGGGACCCTCGGGCGGCGAACACAGCAGTGCGCCCAGGGTCCGGGGGTGCAGGGGGCGCCCCCTTGGCTGGGCGGGGACCTTGATTCTCACCTAGCGCACAGCCTCGCCCAGGCCTACGCGGAGCCCCCCTCTTACACCCCTACCCCCTCACCACCACACTCACCAGTTATCCAACGCCCCCCAACCCGGGGGCTCCAACCTTGTGAAAGCTCCCAGCGCGGCCCAGTTAGCACTCTCCCGTGTCCGGGCCTCAGAAAACTGACAAGGCTCCCCCATCCCCCAAGACTCTCATATTTTTAAATTCTTTAAATTACAAAGTAATGAATGAATACACCCTCCTGATTTAAAACAACGGACGCATGACAGATAAGGCTAAGTTTCCCCACTATGGGGCCAACACCCCCTCCCATGCCTTCCCCACTCGCCAGTGGGATCCTGGGGCCACACCGCGTGCACGACGCCCCTCCTCTCCTTCGGGCCGAACCCTCCCACGCCGGCCTCCTGCTGTCACCGCAGCACGGACTCATCCCTCCAGGACTTTGACCGGTGCGAGCCTCTCCGGGGACCTCCCCACCATGCTGTTTTCCCCCATAACCGCGCGCGACCCCAAGCCCTGTCTTGGTGTCTGGTTTGCTGGAGCCGCTTGCCGCGGGCGTTTGGGGGACAGAGTAAAAGGGGGGTCTATGAGAATAAGTGGCAGCGCTCGCCTGGAGGCACAGGCACCCCAGATCCTCTCCAGGCGTTCACTCTGGGTCTTCCTAGTTCGGGGGGAGGGGGGGCAGCCTTTCCACGGTGCTTCCTTGTGTCCCTGCGCGGGTCAAACTTCCCGGCAGAAGCAAGTCCGCAAGGCCCGGCCTCAGGCGCGTCTCTCACACCTGGGAAAAGTGGGCGCACGCGTCTCCAGCCAAGGAGGCCTTGGGTAGGCCCCGGGCCGGCGATGGGGCACGCCCCACAACCCTCCAGCACGCAGGCCGCAAGAGGGGGGCTGACACCTGGTCTGCCTCCCCTCCGCCCAGCTCTCCAGCGGCACTCCCGGGGGGCAGAGCAGCGAAGTGCGCCCACGCGCCTGGGGGCCATCACGTCATGAGCCCACCCCGCGAGGCCTCGCTGCGCGCCCTGTCGCCCACCTGCCGTCCCTAGCAACCATTGCTAGGGGGGTAGCTGGACCCCGCGGGACAGCCCGGGCCGGAGAAATTCCCGCGGATCGTGAGTATTTGAGTATTCAAATAAGGCCCCGCCCCCGTTGCCATGGTCCCGGGTTCCCACAACCTGAGCGCCAGCGGCGGAGTGCGCCCAGTGCCGAACCCCCTGGGCCGAGCCCCCAGGTGAGAGTCAGCGTGTCCGCGGCCGGGGCCGCAGGCCTGGCTACCCTCCTCACCCCACTGGGCCAGCGGGAGAAACAGGCTGACAGGCGGGCTCGAACAGGAAGCGGCGGAGCCAGTGGGAGACCCAGCGATGGCCCCAGGTGTCGGTTCTAGGATCCTCGAGACCCTGCCCACGGCTCGTCGCCGCACTCTTGGAGGGGGACAGGAGGGGCCCCAAGCCCTGTCCCTGGGGGGAGAGAGGAGCAGGGGATGCAGACTCTGCTCTGAGGGGGTTTCCATGGTGGGGACTCTGAACACAGGAGCCAGGCCCCACTCAGGCCCTCCCCATCTAGGGGACACAGGAGGGGGGCAGGCTTTGCCCTGTAAGCCCCAACGGTGAAGGGGCTGGTGAAGGGGTTGGGGGTGGCTGTGTGACTGGGGGGGACCGGGTGGGGGTTGGAGATGGTGAGTTGTCCAGACTTACAGAAGGGGTGAAGGAGGATCACCTGGGTTCCAACCTGGGGGTGGGGGGATCGCGGTGGCGGGGGAAGGGGCTTGTGAAGTTGGGGTGCTCATGGAGTGCAGAGTGTCTGGGGTTGGAGTTGTAACCAGGGCTTCAGAGGCCATGGCCTCAAACCCAGGCCTGATCTCTGGCCCCAAGGCCTTTGGGCTCAGACGGGGCCTCGGGTCAGCTGCTCTCTGGGTCTGAAGTGGGGGGGGCAGTGGCTCGGCCCTCAGGGCCGCCCACACTGGGCCTCTCCTTGTCCAGGTGCCCTTCTCCCAGGGGAGCCTGGGGCTGGCAGGCCCGTGGGGTGGTGGGTAGAATGACAGCATCTCTCCAGGGGACGTGGTGTGCTGGCCAGAACCCACATGGCTCCACTTGGGCCTCCCCCAAGTGATGGAAGTCTCCTTTCTCTCTCAGCGTATAGGCCCCCTTCACATACAAGCCCTAGGCTGGTCCGCTGGTCCTCCCTCCCCTGGCCCTGCAAGGCCCTGCCCACAGCTCATGTGGCCCAAGGCCTGCCCCTCCCCAGAATCTCTGAAGATGTGAGGTAGGGAAGGCATCTTGCAAGTCCACAGAGGTTTAATCAAGTTGTGGCTGGAATTCTCTCAAGCAGCTAACATTTGTATCTGCCCCCGCCATCACTGGCCGCTTTGGTGAACACTTTAGTGCTCCTTTTGTGAGCACTATGGACACAGCAGGAAACCCCCTGCCTACACAGAGCCAGCTTTTTAGGGGAGAGGTCGCACTAGTCCGATAAAAAGTAAGACACATCTGCTCGAGGAAGGGGTCCGTGGTGTCCAGGAAAATACAGCTGGAAAGGGCAGATAGGGAGTGCAGGAGTCAGGGTCAGCAGTGGCCTCGTGGAAAGGTGCCAAGACAGGGTGAGGTGAGATGGGAGGACGTGAAACATTCTGGCAGACTTCTGGCTCCACCCCTAGAGATCCTGATTCCGGGATCTTGGGCCAGGCCCGGGTATCTGTATCTTTAAGGAGCAAGAAACCAGGTGAGCCCAAAGGCCTTGGGGCCAGAGGTCAGGCCTGGGTTTGAGGCCATGACCTCTGAAGCCCCCATTATAACTCCCATCCCCACATCCCCAGGCCTCCAGGCTCAGAGCCTCCACAATAGGAGGGGTGGGGACTGAACAGGTAAGTATCCAGAGGGCCAGAGCAGGCCGCTGGGGTCAACCCAAGTCATGGACCTCAAGGTGGATGTGGCTTCTCCCGGGCCTGGACCTTTGAGCACGGGCAGTATTAGTGGTTTCTTTAGCACCAGGGTTTTGTCAGGACAGATTGAGACCAGTTCGCTGTAGAGGATTAAGTGCCAGGGGCATTCGACCACACTGAGACCTGAGGTCCCTAGGTTTCTGTTGCCCCGGGGCCGGCCTCACCTCGGGCCAGGGCTGGGGGAGCCATGCACCCCCAACCCGCTTCAGCCACCTGCCTCCCTCCAGACCTGCTGCCATCTGCCAGCTCCGTGCTGGGCTGTGAGGTGGTGTCGCTGCTCGAGGGGGGTTTGTGCTCCTGTACAGATGCTGTCCTGTGTCCTCAGACGGGGCTGGGGCTGTTCTGGCTTTCTTTGCTCTCTGCCAGACCTCACACACCTTCCTTCCTGATGCATTCTGATGGGACCAAGGAACAGTGGGAGCGTGCTGTCTGGGGCCTTCTGTGGCAGGTGGGCTGGTAGGTTCTACAGCTGGGAGGCCTGGACATTCCACCATATCTGACAAAGCTTCCAATGTACGAACACCTCATCAGCCACCAGCTGAGTTTCTCGAACTTGATTTTAAGGAAATAACTGAGGCTGTTGTAGCGACAAAGATGTTCATCGCGGTGTTGTTTGTAGGATGTATCCCTGAATTTCCGTCAGTAGGAAAATGGTTCAATGTATTTGGGGACACCCATTCTCTGGGATACTGTGCAGCTGTAAAAAGGGGGCCTTTGTTCATTTATAAACAGACTTTGTGGAGCACTCGCTGCGTTCAGTGGTAGGGCTGGAACCTACAGATGAGCAAGGCGAACCTGCTTCTCCCCATCCAGTTTGGCGGGGGCAGGGGTGGGGGTGATACCCCACTGCTAAGTAAACTCCCAGGTCACCAAACTCTATGTGTGAACTGACTAGGGACAGCAACACTCTCTCACAAACATGTTTCAAAAGCCAGGCAGAAGGTCCCAGCTGGCGCCTGGCCAGGTAGGGTCCTCTGTGCCATGTGTGGTGGACCTCATGCAAGTCCAAGTAGGCCTGGCCAGGTGAGGCCTGAGGGGCTCAGAGGAGGACGGTGAGGTGGCATTGCCGGACGGGGCTCCAGCTCTGACCCCACACCCCCTCAGCCCCCACCCCCACTCTCGGCTGGCCTGGCCCTCATAGGGGTGGACACGCTCTTGCTCACAGTGCTGACCCTAAGCCCTAGGGAGCCCGGCCTCTCTGGCAGTCTGTGGGTTCTCCTAGCCCGTGCCTCTTTCATTTGTTCCTCACTCTTTCATTCATTCACCCAATAAGCATGTGGTGCTGAGGACCAGGAGTGCAGTGCCACAAGGCCTGCGTGGCTGCCTTCACCGCTCACAGCTGTCCAGTTCCACTGAAAACAGACCAGGAGCAAATCATGAGTGTGTCATTCAGACAAGTCCCCGAGGGAAAGAAGCAGGGTGCAAGGAGGGTCACTCCAGGGCGGCCCACCTGGTCAGGGCACACAGGACCCCCTTGGGTTCTAAGGAGGAGCTGGAGTGGTGCGGGCTCTGGGAGGCCCAGGGGCTGGAGCACAGGGGCCCAGTGGCCAAGGGTGGAGCAGGATGGAGCCAGCAATGGGCTGGACCGCCAGGCCTCAGGGAAGTCTGGGAAGCGGCCCATGGGCAGCCTTGCCCCCAGGAGTCGGTACAAATCGGGCAGAGGTGGGGCTCCTTTAGCAGATTCGCTTTGGGGGGCCCAGAGGGACCCCAGCATTGGCCACCCACATCCTCTGCCCCAGCGCCTTACATCTACCGAGATGAGTGAAGGGGTGAGGGGTGGGGGCTTGTCCAACTGGCCTAGCCCTCGGGTGTGGTGAGCACGGCCCGGAGACTGACCCGACTCTCCCGCAGGAGCCACCCGGGGCCACATGCCACCCCCATGCCCAGATGCGTGACTGCAGCTGGAGACAGCAGCTGCCTGCAGGTGAGGACTCCACTGGGCTGGAAGGGCTGCCCTAAGACCCTGGTCCTGGCTCCAGGCCCTGAGACCATTAGTGGGGAGGGACCCTCAGGACAGAGCCTGAGCTGGCCCGGAAGCCCAGTGGCAGTGGCTTGCTGCTAGTCACCTCGCAGCCGAGCAAACCTAGGCCTGCCTCCAGCCCCAGCCTCAGAGGGGCTCAGCCGCATGGAGCCTCAAGGGGTTGAGGACCCTGGAGGCAGCACCCCACATGTGGGCCCTGAAGGGTGGGCAGAGACTCAGGGGGCACGTCCCAGGCAGGAGTTGTGGGAACCAAGGCTGGGGGGGGGGGACGTGAGGCCCCCCAGGTAGCAGCGGGTGCGGCCAGCCCATGGTGCCTGTGGTGGGAGCTGCAGAGGGAGACTGCGTGGACGAGGGTGTGGCAGGGCCGGGCCAGGACGGCTTGCTGTGCTGTGTGAGGGGACATGGCAAGGGCTGGGCCAGGGTCTGGGTGGGCTGCAAGACCAGCGGGTGAGATGCCAAGGGCCCCAAGAGACCAGTGTGTCTATTGGAGGCTGACAGCCCCGGATGGGGATTTCAGCTGGGTCGGATGAAGTGAAAATGACCCCATCGGATGAAGGGGAAGGGGGCAATGTGGGCTTCAGGCACAGCTGGATCCAGGCACTCGAGGATGCCATCAGCCCCACCCTCCAGCTCTCTGCTCCTCTCATCTGGCTGGCTTCCTTCTCCTCATCTACCCTCCCAGGAGCAGCCCATCCATAGGCCCTTTCCTGAATGTTCCTGGCCTCCGAGTGCCCAGGCCTGGGTCTCATACCATCCTGAGCAGCCGGGGGGGGGGGGGGTCAGCCCACCTTAATGCCCACTGGCACTGGGGAGTGTGACTTTTATGGCGAGAGGCAGCAGGAAGCACAGAGACCCCTCCCATGGCAGCGTGTGGGGCCAGCCTGGGGCTGGGTCACAAGCAGGAGGCCCCGGTGGTGTCATTTTGCTTCTAAAGCAAGTGAAGCCTGCTTTAGGGGCAGCGCCAGAAGTTTTCCCCCACCCAGGCCTGCCGCCCCCAGGAGCCCTCCCTGCCCACCTCCCAGCACCCGCAGCCCACACACACTGGGGAGAGTTTACAATGTCCACCAAGGAGTGTGGGCTGCAGGTGCCGCCCCCTCACAGCCTGGCCTTGGGGCTTGGCTTGACCAGCCACTCAGCAGGTGTCTGCCACTAAGGGGGCAGAATGTGCCAGGCAGGTCAGGGGACCCCTGTCCGTGAACCCCAGTTAGGACATCAGTTGGGGGACTTCAGTCAGGACACCCTAGTCAGGGACCCCAGTGAGGAGACTCTAGTCAGGACCCAAGTTGAGAGAGGGGGCTTTGACCCTGGGGACTTGACCTGAGCCCTCAGAGAATGGGGGTTGTGGCTGTGCACACCCCAGGGCCCTGTAAGGACAGATGGGTGTGTGGGCACCCAGCGCTCGGCCCACAGTGGGTGTCCCACAGAGTGGCAGGACAGTTTCTGGTACTGAGTGCCAGCTGGTCAGTGAGGAGCCGGCTCCACAGGCCCAGAGAGCAGTGTGGAGAGCCAGGGTCTAAACCTCTGTCCACTGGAACAGTGGGTCACTCCTGGGCAGGACGTGAAGGAAGGCCAGGGCCCAGAGCAGCCGGCCACTGGGTGGTGCAGGGCTGATGTGGGGGCTAGTGTAGCCTTTGGCCCTGGTCACCTCCGTGGCTGGGCTCCTGGCTGGACCCCTGTGGCCAGGGCTCCGTGGTCAGGCACCATGGCTGGCCTGTGGGGTGGGCTCCGTGGATCACTCCAGCTTGCTCTCTGCCTTTCCCCACAGGTTGGACGTAAATGGATCCAGCCAGGGTTGGAGCCCAGGGGCCTCGGCCCAACATGGCCAGTGTCCGGGTGCAGGAGCTGAGCTGGCCGGGCCTGCACAACCCCTGCCCGCAGAGCAAGGGCACGGGTAGCCAGGGGGGTGGCCGCGGCGAGCGGCTGATGGAGGAGTACCTGTCCCCCGCCAGACTGGTGAGTGGAGGCATTTGGAGCACAGACAGCAGAGCCCGGCCGGATTCCAGTGTTTGGAACCAGAGAGAGGCCCCCACCCAGGCCGCTGACGTTGGAGACAGGGTGACAGCCCACCAGCACATGGCGTGGGGGAAGGGACGGGTGGGGGAGCAGTTTTAAACACGGTGGCTGGGGAGTCCTTGTTCAGTAGGCCAGAGGGCAGGGAAGCGGCCGCAGAGTTTGTCCCGTCGACACCTGGGAAGAGTGTCCAGAGAGAGGGAGCAGCCATGCAAAGGCCCTGGGGCAGGAGACACTGCATGGCCAGGGAGACTCAGGGAGGAGGGCACAGGTGGGACGTGGGCTGAGGTGCCCGAGGGAGGGGGGCGCAGGTGAGATGTGGGCTGAGGTGCCCCAGGGAGGAGGGTGGCGGGTGAGACGTGGACTGAGGTGCCCCAGGGAGGAGGGTGACGGGTGAGACGTGGACTGAGGTGCCCCA